CTTATATTATATGCCTAAATGAAATTGTGAATGTTCTTTACCCCGCCCGCATCAACAAAAATTTAGAAGGTGGGCCGTTTTGTCCCTGTTTTTCAGGGCAAATATGAGCTAAGTTGGGTACATATTCCAGAATGAAATTTTAAAAAACCCGACCCATTCGGTAAGTGAACTTACGTCCTCACGTGCAGCAGCAATTAGAGGCTATACCGCTATACCTCGGCGCTACAGCACTTGTCCCCTTTTCAATACGGTTTGTTTGGCACTATCTTTCCATTACAATAATAAGGAAGACTTTCCTCCCCCCAATCATTCGAACCCCCCCCCCCCCCAACACACACTTTTTTTTCTTTTTTCTTTTCTTTTTTTGTTTTTTTTTGTTTTGTTTGTTGATGTAAGTAACATACGTACAAACGAGAGCACACAAACGTCCGTGCGTGCACAGTGGCTGCTGTTCTGTTGAAATACGTCGAAATCACCTCAATGATACGATTCAGAAACTGATACTCATAAATTCATTATAAACACCTGTGACTATTGGCCAACAGTATACGGGGGTGCACCTAACCTTTGTAACATTCCACAGCCACTATAGGAGTGTGAGACAACTGACGTAATAATACTGCAGTATACATGTATACACTCTAGTAGGGGTTTGTCTGACATGGCAATAATTATTCATTGTAAAATACATGTATACCAACATGTGAGTGACAAATGAAAGAATAATATTGCAATATACACGTATACGCTCTGGCAGGAGTGTGTGACAACTGATATAATACATGTAATATTAATATTGCTGTATTCATGTATACACTGTAGTAGGGGTGTCATCGTAATAATTATAAATTATTTATTGTAATGTACATGTATACACCATTTAAAAAGTGTGAGTGTGTGATAACTGACGTACTAACATTCTGGTATTCATTGTGAGTACACTCTGGTAGTAGTGTGTGACAACTGACAAAATAATATTATTTTAGAACTCCACCAGGAGTGTGTGACAGTGTGTGATAGCAGACAGGATAATATTGTAGTTCATGTATACATGTGTTTGTCGTAGGTAATATGACTGGAGTATGTGACAACTGATACGATAATACATTTTTTAAAAAGCAAACAAGAACAGACAGATGTAGAAATTCATTCGTATCAACTTTGGTAAGGTTACTGAACATACAGAGCTACAAATGAAACACACACACACACACACACACACACACACACACACGTAACACACACACACACACACACACACACACACTCACACGCACGCACACACACACACACGCGCACACACACACACACACACACACACACTCTCTCTCTCTCTCTCTTTCACTCTCTCTCTCTCTCTTTCTCTCTCCTCTCTCTCCCTCTGTGAGTGTGTGTGTGTGTGTGTGTGTGTGTGTGTGTGTGTGTGTGTGTGTGTGTGTTACGGAGTGGGATGTTTCAGCTCGTAAATCATATATTACTAATGTCCTGTCTTGTGTGAAAACGTGAGTGCACTAACCTTTGTAACATTCCACTGCCATCGTAAACGACCATGACAAATTTCTCTCTGTGAGAGGAATAAAGATTGTCATTGTTATATACGTATTGTTGTAGTATACACGTATACACCCTTGTAGAAGTGAGGGACAGCTGACATAATAATAATGTGGTATACATGTATACACTCTTGTACATGTAGTTGTAGGAGAGTAAGTGTATGGGTTTAACACCCCTATCAACTCTAGAAACAACTTGACATACACAAATACTAAAGAGATACTAATTTAGAAAACGCTGTAAGTTCACAAAAACTAATATTATTAATCAGTAGCTCGCAATAGGCGATTTTCCTCTTCTTTTCTAGATTGTAAAATATTTTTTAATTGCAATTTGCAATAGGTGAGTTTTACGCTTCCATCAACAGTTTAGATCACTAGGGGTAGGCTCCAGACACGCAGAGTAGTAAAGAACGTATAGGGTAGGCTGTTTCGATCTGGTCTGACACAGCTGACCCTGGCAGAGAAGGATACAAAATCCCAACACAGAGACGGAGCTAACGATAAATAAGTTTTCTTACTCGCATGTCTTCTGTGTGTACCCGCACAGCGTCCTACTATTTTATCACAGCCTCTTTTTGTGTGTGTATGGGGGGGGGGGGGGGGGAAGGGGTTTT